CACACACACACACACACAGATACAGGAAGAGGCTATATGTAACATATATATATGAGAGAAAGGGAGATACACGCACACACACACACACACACACAGATACAGGAAGAGGCAAAATACTGCCATGATATCCTGCCATTTAAAAAATATACACGTGTAAAGAAGAAAAGAGCACATCTATATACACACACACATATACATATATATATATGCTTACCTATCTCTGGAAGGATTTGGAGAAACAGCTTGCCTGTTCAAGACAGGAATTGGAGTGGAGGTCCAGGGTGAGAAAGAAACTTACTTTTCACTGCAACATTTTTTTGTCTGTTTTTTTTTTCAACCCTCAGTATGCATTATTTATTTAAATAAATAAACATACAAACAATGCCATATGCTTTACATACTTTATCGAACTGAATAACCTAGAAGGGAAGTACTCTTACTATTTCCAAGGCACAAGGACATTCACTCATTTGGGGGAAGGATGGGGGTGGGGAGGCGGCGGAAGGAGCCTTGATCTGTAGGGTTTGCCAGTTCCCATGGGGTAACTTCTCCCACCGTGGCTAATTTCAAGCTGCCAATGGGGACAGCACCGACCAGAGCTGGGAAGACACGCATGCACACGATCAGCTCTAATGGGCCTGGAGGAACCAGTTCCAGCACATGTCTGTTGGGGATCTTGCCAAGGAAGGCACCCGTGGCTTCCTGCTTCACACCTGAAAGGGCTGCTTTTCAAGAGCAAAACAAATGTAAGTAAAATACACCACTTCAGGACCTAAGGGCAGCTTCCGGGGGTCTTGAGACATAGATGCTGGAGCATTTATTTGTAGTGTAAATAGCCTGGCTTGTTCTGCAACGGATTTGAAACAGACACCCCGAAATTAAAATTAAGCATCTGGGTTTTATAGTTGCAAATTGCTCTGCCATTCTCTTTATGAAATACTGCCACAGCCATACCAGCAGAAGGCAATAAAAGAATAATAAATTAATCAGTGTTAGCATTCTGTCAACACAGCCCCACAGACTTACCAGGGCCAGCAATCTACATTAGGAAGTTGGCGTAGAAACTTTCCCAGGGCTTTAATGGCAGAGGTGGGGGCGAGAGGACCAGACAGACTTGGATTTGCGTGGTGTCCTGGCTTTGCCGTCTGCTAGGCACCTTGGATAAGTCACCTTACCTTCTGACTCCCAGTTTGCACATGGGCTACGTGAGGACAGTGGCATCACAGATTTGAGCAGACACGTTCACCACATTTAATAGATGAGGTTAACACGTGGTGTATACTTAGAGATGAGGCAGGGTGTTCCTCCCTAAAAAATCACCCCACAGCATAAAGTGAGAGTTGTCTTCTATTTAGGATCTTATGAAGGCTCATAGAATGTTCCATGTTCCCTAGACTCTCAATTACTTGCTTTTAAACAACAAAGTATTCTTCCAGGAAGACCCATTTATAGAAGTCACCTGATGAAAGAAGTTTTTTTAAAAAAAAAAAAAAAGCAAACGGGGTGCATGGGTGCCTCAGTCTGTTAAGTGACTTTGGCTCAGGTCATGATCTCACGGTCTGTGGGTTCAAGCCCAGCATCGTGCTCTGTGCTGACAGCTCAGAGCCTAGAGCCTGCTTTGGATTCTGTGTCTCCTTCTCTCTCTGCCCCTCCCCTCACTCATGCTCTGTCTCTCAAAAATGAATAAACATTAAAAAAAATTAAAAACAATTTTTGATACATTATACTGCAGTTGGCCTCATAGCCCCTATAATGAAGCAAGCCTTATAAAATGACTTTGAAAGCAATAAATTAAATGTTAAGATGCTGTGATTGCAAACAGAAACCAATAGAACAAACAGAAAAACAATAGTGCCCTAAGATTAAGTGAATCAGGATTTCGAGATTAAAATCTTTCGGCAAGAGAATCAATAAAGGCTCAAAAAGTGCTGCATCACACACAATTTAAATAGGAGGGAAATTTATGCGATCCAGGAAGCAATCCAGGCGATTCAGAAATCATCCCCAGCAATAATAAAGATCCTGAAATATACGACCCACAGAAAGAGATGGAATAAAATCATTTTGTAGCTGTAATCATCACGGCGGGGTGTGGTACTGGCACAAAAACAGACACATAGACTGATGGAATAGAATAGAGACCCCAGAATTGGACCCACAAATGTATGGCCAACTAATCTTTGACAAAGCAGGAAAGAGGAGCCAATGGAAAAAAGTCTCTTTAGCAAATGGTGCTGGGAGAACTGGACAGCAACATGCAGAATGAAACTAGACCACTTTCTTACACCATACACAAAAATAACCTCAAAATGGTTGGAAGACCTAAATGTGAGACAGGAAACCATCAAAACCCAAGAGGAGAAAACAGGAAACAACCTCTTTGACCTCAGCCCCAGCAATTTCTTGCTCAACACGTCTCCAAAGGCATGGGAATTAAAAGCAAAAATGAACTATTGGGACCTCATCAAGATAAAAAGCTTCTACACTGCAAAGGAAACAATCAACAAAACTAAAAGGCAACCGACGGAATGGGAGAAGATATTTGCAAATGACGTATCAGATAAAGGGTTAGTATCCAAAATCAATAAAGAATTTACCAAACTTAACACCCGAAAAACAAATAATCCAGTGAAGAAATGGACAGAAGACATGAATAGACACTTCTCCAAAGAAGACATCCAGGTGGCCAGCAGACACATGAAAAGATGCTCAACGTCACCCCTCATCAGGGAAATACAAATCAAAACACACTGAGATACCACCTCACACCTGTCAGAATGGCTAAAGTTAACAACTCAGGAAACAACAGATACTGGTGAGGATGTGGAGAAACGGGAACCCTCCTGCACTGTTGGTGGGAATGCAAACTGGTGCAGCCGCTCTGGAAAACAGTATGGAGGTTCCTCAAAAAATTAAAAATAGAACGACCCTACGACCCAGCAATAGCACTACTAGGAATTTATCCAAGGGATATAGGAGTGCTGATGCATAGGGGCACATGTACCCCAGCGTTTATAGCAGCGCTTTCAACAATAACCAAATTATGGAAAGAGCCTAAATGGCCATCAACTGACGAATGGATAAAGAAGTTGTGGTTTATATATACAACGGAATACTACTTGGCAATGAGAAAGAATGAAATCTGGCCATTTGCAGCAAGGTGGATGGAACTGGAGGGTCTATGCTAAGTGAAAGAAACCGGGCAGAGAAAGATAGACATCATATGTTTTCACTCATATGTGGAACTTGAGAAACCTAACAGAAGACCATGGGGGAAGGGGAAAAATAAGTACAAACGGAGAGAGATGGAGGCAAGCCATAAGATACTCTTAAATACAGAGAACAAACTGAGGGTTGATGGGGGCATAGGGGAGAGGGGAAAATGGATGATGGGCATTGAGGAGGGCACGTGTTGGGATGAGCACTGGGTGTTGCATGTAAGTGATGAATGATTCACTTTGGGGGGAATCTAGCCCCAAAATCAAGAGCACACTGTATACACTGTATGTTAGCCAGCTTGAGAGTAAATTATATTTAAAAAAAAAAATGATTGCGTAAAATGTGAGAGTGAAAAAAAACCCAGTACGTCTCAATTAACATATTATTTCTTAATATATATTTAAATATTATTTAAATAATATATTAATAAACTTGAAAGTACGTGCATACCTAAAATAATAAATTAAATATCGCACATGGACATTTGATTATTTCATCTACGGCCTTAAGAATTTATGTATGCGGGGCGCCTGGGTGGCGCAGTCGGTTAAGCGTCTGACTTCAGCCAGGTCACGATCTCGCGGTCCGTGAGTTCGAGCCCCGCGTCAGGCTCTGGGCTGATGGCTCGGAGCCTGGAGCCTGTTTCCGATTCTGTGTCTCCCTCTCTCTCTGCCCCTCCCCCGTTCATGCTCTGTCTCTGTCTGTCCCATAAATAAATAAAAACGTTGAAAAAAAAATTTAAAAAGAAAAAAAAAAGAATTTATGTATGCAAGGAGCACCTGGGTGGTTCAGTGGGGTTATTTAGCGTCCGGCTCCTGATTTCAGCTCAGGTCATGAGCTCACAGTTCGTGGGATCAAGCCCTGTGTTAGGAACACATCTGTCAGCACAGAGCCTGCTTGGAATTGTCCCTCTCCCTCCCTTTCTGCCCCTCCCCCACTCATGCCCACATGTACATTTGCTCTCTCTCGAAATAAATAAATAAACTTAAAAAAAAGGAATTTGTATATTCAAGTTGACCCCCCAAATAGTTTCTTTTTTGCAATCTTCTCGCTGTGAAAAATGGGAGGGTCGCCTTATATTTACAACTACTAAATACTGAGGTAAGAATGTGCAAGCACTGAAAACTCAACATAGCTCTGCGTGATCTGCAACAAGAACTATTACGGTTGTTAATACTATTTTTATTCTGAATGTTCCACCACCAGCTGGGATCTTTGGCGGTGCTCCTCAAAGCACTCACCTGGACTGAAATTCCCCAAGCTACTTCCTAGCTGTGTGATCTTGGGCAAGTTGCCTAACCTCTCTGTGCCTCATCCGTAAACTAGAGATCATAAAAGTATCTCCCGTGGTTAGAACTTCAACCAATCAGTATATGTAAGAAGTGTTTGAACCAGTACCTGGTAAGTGTTTCTTAAATGTTAGTTGTTACCATGACGTTCAGCAACGGAGAACTCTATTGAGGAACATGGCAGCTTTCTTCACAATGCAGCGAGATTTCGTCATCAACAGGGAACCCGTCTTGCTCATCAGGATTCCCAACTCACACACAGGCAGAGCTGTAGACCGGAATTGGTGGAACCACTCTGGAAAACAGGACAAAGATTCCTCACAAAATTCAATATAGACCTACCATAGGATCCAGCAATTCCATTTCTGTGTGTTGATCTGAACAAAATGGAAACACTAACCGGAAAAGATACGTGCACCCCTAGGTTCATGGCACCATTATTTACAACAGCCACAAGATAGAAACAACCTAAGCGTCCGTCAGTGGATAAACTGGTAAAGAGAATGTGATACATGTATAGGAATATCACTCAGTCGTAAAAAAAGAAGGAGATCTTGCCATTTGTGGCAACGGGGATGGACTTTGAGAGCATTATGGGAAGTGAAAGAGGCCAGACTAAGACAAATACTGTATAATCTCACTTATATGCAGACCCTACGAAAAGAAACAAAACAAAACAAAAACAAAAACAAAAAATATTCCAACAACCCAAGCTGTCAGTTACAGAGGACAAATTAGTGGTCACTTTCAGAAGCAGGGGGTGGGGGAAACTGGTAAAGGGGGTCAAAGGTACAATTTGAAGTTAGAAAATAACATGGGGGTGTAATATACAGGATGGTGACTATAGTTAATGATAGTCTGTTGCATATTTGAAAGTCGGTAAGAAAGGAGATCTTCAAAGTTCTCATCACAGGGGCGCCTGCGTGGCTCAGTCGGTTAAGTGACCCACTCTTGATTTCAGCTCAGCGATCAACTCTTGATTTGATCTCGTGGTTCGTGAGTTCCAGCCCTGAGTGGGGTTCCTCGTCCTCACTGACAGTGCAGAGACTGCTTGGGATTCTCTCTCCCCCCCCCTGCATCTCTCTCTCTCTCTCTCTCTCTCTCTCTCTCTCTCTCTCTCTCAAAATAAGTAAACTTAAAACTGTTATTTAAAAAAAGTTCTCATCGGGGCACCTGGGTGGCTCAGTCGGTTAAGCGGCCGACTTCGGCTCAAGTCATGATCTTACGGTCGGTGAGTTCGAGCCCCGCGTCGGGCTCTGTGCTGACAGCTCAGAGCCTGGAGCCTGTTTCAGATTCTGTGTCTCCCTCTTTCTCTGACCCTCTCCTGTTCATGATCTCTCTCTCTCTCTGTCTCAAAAATAAATAAATGTTAAAAAAATTTTTTAAGAAGTTCTCATCACAAGAAAAATAATTGTGTAACCATGTGTGGTGATAGATATTAACTAGACTTACTGAGGTGATCATTTCGTAATACACGCAAATAGTGAATCCTTATGTTTTACCCCTGAAACTAATATGTTATGTGTCAGTTACACCTCCATTAAAGAAGAAAAAAAAAAAAAAGCCTAGACTGGATATTTCTTTACGTCCCTACAGTGAGTTCTTCACAACAGGAACTGAATTTTATTCATCTCAGTCCCCAAATGACAAACAGTAGGTGCTTAATCAGTATTCATTGAGCAAGTGAGAATGAGGTGCAGTCTACATTACTGCATGTTATTTTTCATTGAATTGTATTGTTTTTTTTCACATCTATAAAAAAGGACTTAAAAATTAATCCCAAAAAGGCATACATTAAAAGTTCAAATCATACAAAAATGTTGAGAGTAGAAGGACCACCTGGAGAGAATGCTTCTCGGCATCTAGAGTATTCTTTATCAAAATGTTTCCTTTATGTATGCATAATCTAACATGTAAGTACCAAGGCTATATCATGTACTGGTTTAAGACCACGAGCTTTGGAATCAGATATGCTGGGGTTTAAAATCAGGCTTTACCTTGGGGCACCTGGGTGGCTCAGTCAGTTAAGCGTCTGACTACAGCTCAGGTCATGATCTCACAGCTTGTGAGTTCAAGCCCAGCATTGGGCTCTATGCTGACAGCTCGGAGGCTGGAGACTGCTTCGGAGTCTGTGTCTCCCTCTCTCTCTCTGCCCCTCCTCTGCGCTCTCTCTCTCTCTCTCTCTCTCTCTCTCTCTCTCAAAAAATAAATAAACATTTAAAAAATTTTTTTTAAAAATCAAGCTCCACCTTTTTAGTGGCATGGTCTTGAGAAAGTCACATAACCGCCCCGTGCCTCATGTTCTATGGAAAATGAAGATAATGAAACCTACCCTATAGGCTTAATAGCCTATAAGTCTAAATAGAGCACTTAGGATAGCAACAAATACAGATAAACAACTCGGTGAAGGTTAGTGATTACGTACATACATATATTTAAACAAAATTTGAAGTCACACTATAGATCCTAGTTTACATTTGCTTTTTTTAATGTAACAATATGTTGCAAACACTTGTTCTGTGGTAGTACATACGGGAGCCAATTCCTTCTTTCTGATGCCTACATTATATTCAAAAGTGTATATAAGTAATCTCCTGTCTCTGCCACCTGAGTATTTCTAATATTTTACCATTACAAACAACCACAATAAAAATCCCCATTGCCTATATATTGCTTTATCCTTGGGTATTTCTATAGGATAAGTTCTAGAAATGGGATCGCTGGATCCAAGTGTATGAATTTTTAACTATATTAATAAACAATGAGTTATCAAATTGCCTCCCCCAAAGGCTGTATCCTTTACACTTTGATCAACGAGTGTACTTTGTTGCCTTGTGCCTGTGGATGTTTTAACCGGGTTCCCCCAACCATTTATTTGGACCGTCCCAGTAGTTAACCAGAATCAGGGACTTCGCCCTGTTACTTCTGCATTATATTCCCTCATCTTTCCAAAAATCATAAACAACTCCTAAGAACCTAGCAACCAGTGTTCTGCAGACACACAGCCTGACAAAGAATGTTTACGCTATTCTCAGACGGGAGAAGAGAAAAGGTTGGAATTTCTGAGCCTCTTCTGCGGCCAATAGGAAGACCATTCGAAATTACAACAATCCATTAAGTTTGGGAAACAGGTGCCTGTAACTGTTTCCATCTTTATTTTCCGTGACTCGGACCCTCTTTGTCGAGTCGTACTGGAGATGCGATGTCTCCAGTGCAGCGTCCCCAGGGTGTGATCTGAGTACCTAACTTACTTGTAGCTCTTCTGATGCTTTTAGGTAATACCAGGACGACAGGTGGATGTCAGAGCCAGAAGCTGAACAGCGCCACCAAGCTGACAGGCTGCTTCAGTGGTAGCTAAATCCCATGCCCATGTTTATTTTTAATTTCATTTTAATCCAAGCAGTAAATATATATAATGTTGAAGAGTTAGTTGCTACTGCAAACTGGACCCTACGACAAGGCTTATAAAAAGAACCTCCCGTGCTACCCCCAGTCACAGCCATGAAGCAATAACTCATTCTGTAGTTATCTCTTCAAACCTGATTATGGGGTCACTTCCAAGATCTTTTCATTTTAGGCTTTTTGTATTGATCTGCAGCTACGGAGGAAAAGAATTTCGTTTTCCTCTCTCTCGCTCTCTCTCACTCTCTCTTTCTCTACACACACACACACACACACACACACACACACACACACCCTCTCCAATTTTCCCCAAATAATTACATCATAATTTTTGGTTAAATCAATGTGCTGTTTTCACATTATAATGGCAATGTAATATTATCTCCAGCTAAGTGTTGATGCTTATGATAATTACAACGTTTTTCTTATGGATTGCTTTTGTTTTCTTGGCTTTAATAATCACTGTGTGTCCTATTTGCTTAGTTTTCTCTATAACAGCTCCAATCCATCTCCAACTTCTTTGCCAGAACTCTAATCCTTTATAATTGTCTCAGCTTTGTGCTCAGTCTAGGGGCAGCGTAATGTAATGTGGTTCTTCACGTGTGTCCCTGGACCAGCAACAGGAACAGCATCACCTGGGACCTAGCTAGAGATGCAAATTACCAAGCCCTACCCAAGACGTACTGACGAGCCACCACTCTGGGGCTGGGGCCCAGCAATCTGGCTTTTTGACCAGGCCCTCCACCTCCAAGGGATGCCGACGCGCACTCACGCTCGAGAGCACCAGGACAATGGTTACGAGTTCGGATACCCAAACCCAAGGCCACTGGGGTTCGGATCCCAACTATTGCACCCGTTTGTGATGGAACAGCTTCCACGGCCCAATCTTCCCATCCATAAAATGGGGCCAAAGCGTCCCTCCCACATAGCTGGGCAGCATAACCAGCTTCAGCATTGCTTTTTTCCTTTTGAGATGGAGCGCAAGCAGGGAGGGGCAGAGAGAGACAGAGAGAGAGAATCCCAAACAGGCTCCGTGCTTTTGTCAGCACAGAACGCCATGTGGGGCTTGAACTCACGAACTGTGAGATCATGACCTGAGCCTAAATCAAGGGTTTCTTGCAGACACCCCTCCTGGAGCCCAGTAGAACCAGTTCCATTATGGGAGGGGAATGCAAGCCAGCTGCAAAGCCTCCCCCAGTCTTCCAGGGTCTCCTGCTCAGAACCAGCCCTCCTCTGAGCACCCACCTCAAGCCTCTGTCTGTCAGCACCTCCAAAGTGAAGCCCCCTCCGGCACCCCTGCAGGAGCCTCTCCTCTTTTTAATGCCTCCCATCCTCCCCTCCCCCTACTACAGCCACCATTTCACACTGTTCTCTGCCTCTGCTGCCTGGCCCTACCCTCCCTCCGCTTCCCCCTTCCCTCCTAGCCCAACAGAGCCAGCTCTCCCCCTTCCCCACCATTCCTTCCACACCCCTCCACTCCACCCAACTCTCCCCTCCAGGGCCAGAGCTCTCCACTGTCCCAGGGAGTCACCCCTAGGGTGGCCCCTGGGGCGTTCTCCTCCCCCTGAAATACTGCAGGATGGGCAGGAGCATCAGCACTCTGCCTCCTCCCCCTGGGCAGTACTCAGAGTAACCACCTGTGAGAGCCTCAGCTCTCCCCTCCCGCTCCCTCGCTTTCCTTGAGGTTCCGCATATCACAAAGGGTCAATAAATCCCAAGTCCTCATAGGGCCCATGCATCCCTGCCTCACGACCCACCTACCACATCTCTCTCTCTCCATTTCCGGTTTCTCCTGCCCCGTTCCCTGCGTTCCAGCCACGCTGGCCTCCTTTGCACCTGTTGTTTCCCTGGGACACAAATGGTCTTCCAATAGATACGCATTTGGTGGATTCTATCAGGTCTCTGCTCAACGGGCACCTCCTTAAAGAGGGTTTCCCAAGCCGCCATTCGAATATAGCACCTGCTTGGAGCGCCTGGGTAGCTCAGCCGGTTGAGCCTCTGACTTCGGCTCAGGTCATGATCTCCCGGTTCATGGGTTCGAGCCCCGCATCCGGCTCTGTGCTGACAGCTCAGAGTCTGGAGCCTGCCTTGGGTTGTCTCCCTTTCTCTGTCCCTCCCCTGCTTGCACTCTCTCTCTTTCGCTCTCAAAAATAAATAAAACATTCAAATAAACAAACAAACAAACAAAATAAAAAGGCTCAGTTGGGAAACTAGCTGGAAGAAAGACTCCATTGGCCTTGTTCAGTTTCTGGGGCCAGGAACAGCACGAACAGGGCCAGCCCTGCCTCAGCACTACACAGCCTTCGGTCCTGAGAAGTGCTAAGTAAGGACACTGGTGTTCATGGCCTGGCGGGATTTGGGTTTGTGTATTCACCTTTTAAACCAACTTCATTGCCATATAATTTACATCCCACAAAAGTCCATCACCCAGAAAATTCCCTTGCGCCCCTCAGCAGTCCAACTCCCACCCCGAGGATAACCACCGATAGGTTTTCTGCTGCAGTGGATCAGCGTTGCTTGCCCGTATATTAATGGAATCATCTAGCGTACTCTTTTTAATTCATTTTTTTTTTTACGGCTTTAATGGGGTTAAGCTGTAAAACTGATGTACAAAAAACCGCACTTATTCAAAGTGTACAATTTGAAGTGATGTTAACATATCCCTCCCCTGAAACTACCACAAGATAACCTCTTTTTTTTTAATTTTTTTAATGTTTATTTTTTTAAATGTTTATTCATTTTTTTAAATTTTCTTAACTTTTTTTTTTTAACGTTTATTTATTATTGAGAGACAGAGACAGAGCATGAGCAGGGGAGGGGCTGAGAGACAGGGAGACACAGAATCCGAAGCAGGCTCCAGGCTCTGAGGTGTCAGCACAGAGCCCGACGCGGGGCTCAAACTCACAAACCGTGAGATCATGACCTGAGCCGAAGTCGGACGCCCAACCGACTGAGCCACCCAGGTGCCCCTAATGCTTATTTATTTTTGAGAGTGAGACAGAGCGTTGAGCCAGGGAAAGAGAGAGAGAGGGAGACACAGAATCTGAAGCAGGCTCCAGACTCTGAGCTGTCAGCCCAGAGCCTGACGTGGGGCTCAAACTCACAGACAGCGAGATCATGACCCGAGCTGAAGTGGAAAAGTTAACCAACTGAGCCACCCAGGTGCCTCTACCACAAGATAATTTCAAGAAAATAAACATATCCATCACCCCCAAAAGTTTCCTCGTGTACCTCCCTCCCCACCCCAACTACGAATCTGCTGTCACTGTACATTAGTTTGCATTTTCAAGAACCATATACAGAATCATGCAGTATGTATTCTTTTGTGCCTGGCATCTTTCACTCAGCATAATTATTCTAATTCATGCATGTTGTTATATCAATACTTCAGGCCTCCCCACCGCCCCGCCCCCACCCCCAGCAGCATCTCATGGTATAGGAAGACCACAGTCTAGTCATCCATTGACTTACTGATGAACATTAGAGTGTTTTCTAGTTTGGGACTCTTATGGCAAAAGCCACTATAAACATTTTTATGAAAGTGCATTTGTGAACATAAACTCTCGTGTATCTTGGGTAAATGCCTAGGCATGAAGTTGCTGGGCCATCGGGTAGATCTGTATTCAACTTCCTAAGAAATTGCCGAACTTTTTTTTCCCCCAAAGTGGCTGTACCACTTTACACACCAACTGGCTAAAGTTGAACATCAAGCTTGTTCCTTCCTGTCTTTGGGCTTCTATACTTTTTCCTTCTTCCTTAAATGCCTTACCATTAGTTTTTAGCATGGCTGATTTCAGGTCTGCCCCCTAAATTCATACGCTGAACTTTGATATTAGTTGACACTAATATCACTAATATTGCGACAAACCAATGTCCTGTGCCTTCTGATGTGACACTCAGGACACAACTTTCTTTCAGTGGCATTCCTGCCAAAAATGCATAATCTGAATCTAATCATGAGAACATATCAGACAAATACAAATCAAGGACATCTACAAAACAACTCCCCAGTACTCTTCAAAAATGTCAAAGTCATGAAAGACAAAGAAAGGCTGAGTAATTGACTGCTTCTCCAGATTAAAGGAAACTAAAAAGAAGGAACAACTAAAGGAAACCTGTGATCCTGAATTGGATCCGGGGGAATGGCTACATTATTGGGCCAATTGGCAAAATTTAAATATTAAAGGGGTGTTAAAAGAATCATACCATTGTTGAAATTCCTGATTTTGATAATTATACAGAGATTACGCAAGAGAATGTCCATGTTTCTAGGAAATATACACAGAAGTATGTGGGAGAAAGAGGCATAATGTCTGAAACCCACTCTAAAATGATTTGTGGGGGAAAAAAGTGTATGTGCATATTATACACACATACACAGGAGAGAATATGGTAATGCAAATGTAGCAAAATATAACAATTTGTTATTCTGGTTAAAAGTATATGAGAATTCTTTACTATTCTTGCAATTTACATGTAAATTTGAAATCCCCCGCCCACACACACACACAATTAGTCTTTTCGATGGATGCCCACATTATCAGAAGTGGCCTATTCCCAAACCCAAGGCACTCTTTCACATTCTCCATCATACTTACCAATGTCAAAAATTATTCTATTGTTTAGTTAATAATATCTAACATTTACTGCGTGTAAGGCCCTGTCCTGTTGTTTTAACTGTATAACTACAGTGATTCCTCCAACTACGGTTCCTCCCATCTTACAGATGAGAACTAAAGACACAAGAAAGTTAATTAACTTGCACAAGGTCACCCACATCGTTTGTCTCCCCCAGGGGCCTAGAACCTCAACTAAGGTAGAGATTGACTTGTTCACTGCTCTTTCCGCAGCGACTTACAACAGTGCCTAGCACATTACAGGAGTTCAATTAATACAGGTTCAGCTTAAAAATAACGAGCACCTACTAGGCACTGGAGTACAAAGCAGTGAACAAACTAGCACTTTCAGCCTTGCATCCTATTAGCCACCTTATATATATTTTGCTACTCTTAATACATGCATTGAAATTATATATATTTCATTTGGCGCTATCAACATTGGCAAGGTAAGGTCCAATCACCCATTTTGCAGAACAGAAAACTGAGGCACGGAACGGGCCCATGATTTACCCAGAATCAAGGGGCTATGGGGGGCAGGGTGTAGATTCCAACCCAGGCCGGGCGGTTCCCAGGCACTACCTATGAATCAATCAAACCGACCAATCCAATCAACCAATCAGTATTTATTAGGCGCCTACTGAGCGCAGCCCCACTTCACCAAGCGAGGGCGAGGAGGGAGGGGGCTGCGGCGCGCAGCCGGCCGCGGAGGCTAGGAGGACGCAGCGGATCGCGGAATTTGGCGCCTATTTTTTGTCGGCTGGGTGTTCTCGCCTGTGATTGGGCCCCGGCGCGGCGTGCCCGGTGCGCCTGG